ACACACACACACACACACACACACACACAGTAGATAGACGCATTTATAGGTGAGAGGTTAGTCATGTTTGCTTGTAACTGCGGGTTTAGAGAAGCGGTAGTCAAAAGGTTGACAGGAAACATCTACCATGAAGATAGAGACAATGTTCCTTTTCAAACTGTGTTAAAAGTCATTGTGGTTTTGAATTGACGTATGCATATATTGTATCTGATGACACATGAGGGGGCATCATTAAATTCAAACCCTGATGGTATAAAATATCTGTTTATGCTTTGATTAGTCGAAGATCAAGGGCTGTCTGCGTACAGACTGGTCTTCCCACGCGTGTATTTCATTAAAATCAATTGTTTGACCAAGCTCTTCTGGACCCATGGTTGTTTGTACTCTCCTTCCTCAATATTTGAACCTTAACAGTAACAAAACATTATACTAATTATTAATGTTATACTAATATAATATTATACTAATTCTGAACTGTTTACAGTTTTTTTTCCAAAAAAGAGAAATTTGTCATCTTCCAGAGTATAGGGCTGGGACATAGTCAGGGTTACGATGACTTAAATGTTAGACATTTAAAAGGACCCAGAGCCTCCTTGCTATCCTTTCCCAGATGCCCGTAGCTGTTATTACCTAAGGCCGGACCCTACCTCATCTCTCTTTATGTGATGTGCTTTATCGTCCAAGAGCTGGTGTAGAACTTGAGAGTGCTGCTGACGGTGCTGCCTGGTTTTGAGGTTTTCCTCCTCCTGAAGCCTGTTGTGTGCTTCAGAGAGCTTTTTTCTTAATGTTTCATTCTCCATCTGCTCTTGGATCTTCCTCTGTCGCTCAAGCTCTGCCTGACGCCTTTTCTCGTCTTCTTTCCTGCGTCGCTCCTCTTGTTGGCGTTTCTCTTCATCAATTCTGCCTGTAGAGAAATGAATGCATGCTCAGAGTAATTAAATTTGTTTTAAATTTGTTAAAAGCTCCTGACATTAAACCATGTTACACTGCAAAGAGCTTGGTATTGGCTCTCACTGGAATACTGTGTCACTTCCTGTTCCTGGTACACACTGGTGGTTTGTGCAGCAACATCTGTGTAGCCCAGTTCATTTCAAACTCTTACTTAGCAACTTATCTCATACTGTAACCTATGTATGATTTATCAGGGCACACTTCCTCTTCAATCAGCTGCAAATTTTACTCAGTGTTCACTTATTGTGTCATTAGCAGTGTGGCCTGTGTTTCTGTGCTTTCTTCACTGGTACTTTCCTGCTCAGTGTGTAAAGTGTTTAGTTATTGCTTGGCCTATTTTGGGGGGTTAGTACTTATAAATAATAATAAATATAAAGTATAAAGTAGTAATAAATATAGCTTGTTCATAGGTTTGCAGAACAAACCACTGAAAGTAAGCCTAAAACTGGCCAGGAGTCTGTAGCAGGTGTGGGCCAAAGTAGCTTAGCCTGATTAGTCCCACACCAGGTCCTCCTGAGCAGCAGGGAAATCAGGCGGGTGGGTGACTGTGAAGAGGAAATGTAGCAGCAAACTATTTCTCCAGGCTAAATGATGATCTTCTAAATTCGTGACACACCATTTCCTCTCCAGCTTACAAGTCGTCTGCTTTAAGGTAAGTTTTTGAGAATTATACCACGGAGTCAGGTACTTCTGATTTGAGGCTCTGTTGTTCACAGCAGCTACAGCATCCAGAGTGACGTAGTCAGTCACTCTAGGCTTTTGTTAACCTTCTGATTTCTTTCCGGTGTGTGAACTCTGGTCTTATTAAGCAGTACACACCACTGACTGATACTTACCAAAGTTAGGACAACGGTCAACAACACTACCAGACATGTTGTTGACCAGTTCAAATTCTTTGTGGTCTTTACTCTCTCTTATTGTGTACGAAGCGCCACGACCTGCACCAGTGAGGTCACTTTCTGAGTGATCTCCATATCTAAAGGAAAATGGTAGTGATGCATACAGGTACTGTCCTGTGCTGTTGCCACGCACTGTACGCACATCCTGAAGGAAAGAGAGGGGGAGGGACTAGGATGAATGTGAACACACAAGGGTGAAACTTATAATTTGGATTTGTAGACTTACCTCTCTCCCCTTGCTACAGTAGTGAAATGTGTAGGGGGTTTCATTATGTATCGTAGAGTAGTTCCCCATGGTTCAAGCTCTATAAGACAAATGAAAGAGAATTTAGAGAAGGTCAGAAGGTTTACTGTCATTGTGGAGATGACTGGGTGCTGAGAGAAAAGCTGTGACCACATGAATGTCCCTAATCAGGTTTGTGTCCAGAGTGTGGATGTTTGGAACAACCCAACAGTACTGACAGTTACTATCAGGGCTGTACTTTTACCCTCTAACAGAATACACGGCATTCGTTCTGAATGCAGACACTTACAGTTGTGTAACTGCAGTGGTGGGCTTGAAATGGATACTTGGATCTTTAATATGCAGTGAGATTGTCTTGATCATCCAGGTAAGTAAATCCCAAAAGGTTGATTCTGTTCATCTGGACACGTGTGTGTCCGTATATGTATATACTTTTTTGTTCCATAACCATTTAAGAGCTCATTTAAGAAACTCCAAATGACTGTCTTACTGCATCCACCTCAGCAGCGATGGCATGCTGCGAGAGAACCTGCTTATGCAGTTTAACAACACAACCAAGTTCAAAAAGAAAGGGTTTTTTGCTTTTGCCATCAGAACGTCATGACAGTGTGACTACCTGACAGAAAAGGACAATGAATCCACATTTTTGCACAGATTTGGCCTTTTAAAGGCACGTGGTCCTAAACTTTTCATTTGCTGTAAAACAGCCTGTTTCAGTTTAAGTGCTGTTTTCAACAAATTGCATACTCAAAGAATATTTCGTCTCACTCCCACTTCTTGTTGCTTGTTGAAGCTCTACTTGGAACCTTGTTAAGATCCAACCATGCAAAATTTGAAAGACTACATGCCTTTGGTGCGGGATTCCCACCTGGGGCGTCTGTATCCAGTAAGGGTCCTAAGGCTAGACCCCCCATACTAAGCAAGCCTACTGCAGACATGAGTGAGACAGAGAAATATGAAGGCATGCCAGCTCGGATGTCACCCAGATCAACAAGGTCCGCGTCAGGTGTTGAGGAACCAGGACACCCTGATGAGAAGTGGGCCACTGGAACAAGAAGGCAGCAGTGGGAAAGAGACGAAAACAGGGCGTTGTTGGAATGCTACTACGCCAGTAACCCCGGGAGAAGGGGAGGAGAGAAGAGGTCAAAATGGGAGACGCCCCCAAGAGTGGTGGAGAATGACCGAGCTAAGATCCTGTGGGACTTCCAGATACAGACGGACAAAATGGCGGTGGCTAACCAACCGGACATAGTGGTGGTAGACAAACAGAAGTGACAGATATAGGGGTTCCCAAAGACAGGAACATTGGAAGAAGGAACACGAGAAGCTGGAGAAATACCCACAGGTGGGTCGAGTATCCAAAAATTGTACTCAAGTACACTCAAAAAAATGAATGAGTTGGATTGTTCAGTGTATATTAATTATTTATTTCCATTTTACTTAAAATATATGTTTTTGTTAAGTTGACATATGCTTTTCTAAGCAAGTCTACGTAATTGTGTCTATTATTGTTTGTACATAATACTAATGTGTTACTTGATGGCATAACATTTAAGTTAAGTCAATTAGGATCGATATACTTCGCATATCCACAAGGTGGCAGTAATGCAAACACAGTTGTAATAAAACCGCAAAGAACAACAAGGTTTCACGGCTTGTGCCTGCTCATGCGCAAGACTTCAAATTTAACTTAAAAATGTTGTTTTTGGCGCCAAGCTGCTGTTTCTTTGAGAGGTAAGACCACTTTTTTCTTTGACTATGTTGTGTAGTATCTACATGTTGAGCATGGTTATATTTTGCGTTTGTCTTACAAGACATGTTATATCGTTTGCATGTGCCTGTGCTACATTAGTTTTGCTGGGTCCTGGATAAGATATGTCTGCTTTCATCCTGCCAAACCCTGCCATCGTAACACGGGAACCGTGAGACCACTACACAGGTGGTGTGTATAGGTATACATCGTGTGCAAGGTTTTTGGTAACAGGTGAAGTATGCCCCTCAGAGCAAACCTGAGCTAAAGATGAAAAATAATATTACAATGGATGAAATTTAGTGTGCCTGTTTATCTCAGGCTATTGCAAACAACTATATTAACTGCTTACATGTTAACATGATTATTTTGTGGACTGTGTAAGAAGCATTTTTTTTTATTTTTTTATTAAGGGATTAGCTACAGGGGTTCATGGGGTTATTTTTCATTTGCTTTCTTGGGATTCCTTTACTGTAATCCGAGAGTCACGAATATCGAATAGGATAGCAAGGATAGCATAAAGTGACATTTAAAATCCAAAAAGTCAAGGGCGAAAGCCACTGTGACACCATTGTTATGCTCTGTCAGTAATCTGTATTATGTAAAAATGGTCTGTAAATACAGCATGTTTCCTAGCGGAGTTATACATATCAACATAGTTATAAATTACAGTTTGTTAAATCACACACTTAATTTTTTAAATAAAATTATTCACGACATATGAGTGGACAGACAATGGAGGTCGACAGACCTGGTGATAATTGCTTCTATAGAAAGTTAGCACATGGCAGTGTCAATCTCTTGCTTTTCTTCTGAGTAGTATTTTATTTAGTTGTAGTTCAATCAATAATTTGCTTCTTGAAATTAAGTAATGAATTTCTTGTTTTACTTTATAAATTTCAGATCCTGGCCTTTACCTGCTCCCTCCTATACTGATGTGCTGTATGTGGTATGTGAACTGTTATACTTTTAAAAACAAAACTGTTTAATAGTTAAGTTTTCTTTAGTGACCCATCCCATGCCCCTGTTATTTAAGTAACAGGGGCATGCTAGTAAGAGACAATCAGAAGTATTGAGATTTAAAGGATTTAATTGAGAGATGATTCTGCACCAGAAATGTTGAAGGGTCTCCTGTTGCTACTTCAATCATGAAACTGATCAATGATCAGCTGATTGGCTTATCTCTCTTGTTTGTTTATCGCCCACTTTGCGCCAGAAAGAGGAAACCAGCGGATGTCGCGGTAAACAACAGCAGCACGTTTAAGCTTGATCAGCTGTTGTCAGAATTTATTTAATATTAATTTCTAGTATCAGCTGATGTTTGCTGGAGCCACGGTTTTAAGGTTGTTGTTCTTGTTTTGGTTTGGATATGTGGTGAGAGGGAAACATGAAGATGAAACCAGGAGATGTCCTTACTGAATCATCAGAGCTGAACAGGTGATGGAGAAACAGGTTTACCTTTTAGGTGACATGGATGAGTTGAAGTTATGAACTGTTTCTGAGAGACAAATAACACCAGGATCCGTTTGCCAGGGGGCCAGGTAGGGCATTAACAGGGAGAGGGGGGCACAAAGAAACCCTTTTCTTTCTTATTTTCATTTAAAATGTATCTGAATCTTACAACCAAAGTTTTTATCTGAAGTAAAATGTATAGAAATCATACATATACCAACAAGACTGTACATCACAGTCACAACAGCGTCTGTTTTCATTCAAAGGCTTTATGGCTTTAATACCTGGGGGGCCGGTCTCTCGTCAAAATGTCGATGTATTGTCCCAGTCCAGCCCTGCGCACGACACGCAGTGAATTAATCTGAGAAGGTGCATTAAAAAAATTAATGGCCGGGCCAGCGGTGCACATCGCAAATTAGCTCACATACACACATTAGTTGTGCCACTTTTTAATGACGGTATCTTAGCTAACACCCCCAACTACCAGATTCAACTTGTAATTAGCTAAACATAACTTAGCCTACCGGTGAGAGGGACGCCGTTAGCTGGCAGTTTTGTCAAGCGATGTTGAAATTTCCACATTCTGACATTTCAAATGCTTCAGGAGCTGTCCGCTCAGCACAGCATCAGCACCACGGAAATACACGGATACATCTGTAGACTCGAGACTGATCAAACCAGAAAGCTTTAATGAGCAGCTGGGTTTATCTCGCGTTAACTGGCTGAGTTAATGCCGCTGAAATGCAGCTGATTGAACTGAAAACCTCGACTCTGTGGGGTCAAAGTTTGCAGAACTACGAACACAGCTGGAATCCACAGCTGTGCGTGTTCATGGAGCTGCATTTTCACCTGCTGGACATCACTACCTGACAAGTTTAACTGGTAAATGGCCTGTATTTGTATAGCGTTTTACTTAGTCCCTAAGGACCCCAAAGCGCTTTACATTCAGTCATTCACACACTGGTGATGGCAGCTACATTGTAGCCACAGCTGCCCTGGGGCGCACTGACAGAGGCGAGGCTGCTGGACACTGGCGCCACTGGCTGATCACCACCAGTAGGCAAACATGGGGTTAGTATCTTGTCCAAGGATATTTCGCATGCAGCCAGGAGGCAGCCTGGGAT